TGTCTGGGAAGGAGCCTTTTTCCCCTAGTAATATATCAGACTACTCTATTGGAACTTAATGACGACCACGGTAAAAAACTAATAAACAGAGTGGAAGAGCATTGTAATTTCACCATCATACCTTCCAGAGGGTTAAGAAATCATGCATGTCTTCTTATATTTCAAACCTTCACTTCACTGCTGTGGGTCTTTTATGACTTTAAGAAGCGTGTTTTGAATTGAGAAGCCATGGGCAGTACAGAAAACTTCCAAAGAAAGATGAAAGTTTCTGACCCTCCCGATTGACCCAGTTCTGAATGAACAGATGGATTGGATTTAATCCTCTTGGAACTAGGAATACTCTGATTTCCATATCCCCTGCTTGCATGTGCTCTCACGTGAGTTCCCATCCTAATTTCCAGTGGAAAAGCATTATCTGAAGCTGCATTTGTAGGAAACAGCCTTCCGCTGGACATGTCATCCACTCTACTAGTGCTTAAAATAAAGTACTGAGATAGAAGGCAACTTGAAACAGACAACAAGCAGTATAATACAGAATGTTACGAGTAAAGTGTGTTACTCAGATCCCTCTAAAATACATTTCTCCCTTTATTTTGAAGGCCACGGTATAGGCAACTTGGCTAATGGAACCAGTCTCTTCCTTTGATCCTCAATAGGGTTATCTTTTCGGGAAACTAAGTCCCAGCTCAGATGATAGTTTTCGATGAGGCTGACATGAAAGAGAAAGGCACTATTTAATTATTAGCTCCCTGAAAAACATGTCTTTTCTCTCTTTAAATGAATAATTCTTCAGCTGAAACTGTAAGCAGGAGTGAGGCAGGACTTGTGGGCTGGGTGCGGGAGGGATTCATTTGATCTTTGTTGTTTCTGCTCAGGCTGCAGGCAGACTCTGGGTTATGCACCAGTCTGTGATAGCGTCACCCTGCTGGCCCTGGGGGATGGATTTTTAGGCAAAGGAAAATCAAAGATAATTGTTATGTGAGTGCATTTATTTTGTCTTAGACTTGGGGGGATGTTGGTAAGATGTACCATCAGTTGCCTGGCAGGTAGTAGATGCTCAATGAATGCTCCCAGTAACTGACTACATTTTCTTTGTGTATCTGCCGACATTGAAGAGGGCAATGGGGATTATGGCAATGGACTAGAATCAGGGGGTTGAAAGATAACCACCAGCCATGCCTGTGTAGCTATTGAAATGTTGCCCCACTCTGAATGGAAGTGTCCAGACACTGAAATACAGGCTGAGTTTTAAAGATTGAGCATGAAAAAGAAAAGCCAGGATCCTGGGACATAGTTTAAAGTGCTGGAGCACATGCAGGAGCCCAGGGCTCTATTCTCAGACCTGCAGCATTGGCTGAGGGCCCCCGAGTAGTGATCCAGAGCACTGTGCAGAGATAGTCCCTAAGCAGTGCTCCCACATAGCTCCCGGCGCTGCCAGGTGTGGTGTTTTTTTAAAAAAAAAAAGCAAAAAATGAAAGGGAAAAACACTCAATATTTATATTGATTGAATAATAATATGTTGATATGCTCAGTTTGCTCAAGCAGGCATCAGCAACATATCCATTGTGAGACTTGTTACTGTATTTTGGCATATCAAATATGCCATGGGGAGCTTGCCAGGCTCTGCCATGCAGGCGAGATACTCTCGGTAGCTTGCGGGGCTCTCCGATGAAGTATATAACTATTTCACTTCTTTATTCCACTTACAATGTTTATTAGGGTTTTGTTTTGTTTTTGTCCACATCTGCTATCTCAGGACTTCCAACTTGGTGAGGGTGGCGTGGGGAGGTCACCTCCAGAGGTGTTGTAGGCATCATGGTGTGCTGGGACTCAAACCCTGTGCCTCACACATGCCAGCAAGTCTTTCCCCACTGCCCCCTTCTGCTTTTAAATGGGAGAGTAGAAAAGCTTTCACTCCTGCTGCGGCTTCTATTAGAGTTTATTGGACAGCACTGCTCTAGGCTTTGGAGAGAACACAGCAAATAAAGTCTCACTTTAAGGAGGGATAAAAGTGGTTTACAAGGCATTTTACAAGGATCACCCAGACCCTTTGCCCTGCCCAGACCGTGGTCCTGGCAAGAGGGATGGTGTTGGGCCTGTCCGGATCTCCAGCGGGGATCCGAATGCCTTGAGGTCCCCCACTACAGCCTCGCCCCAAGGAAGATGGACGAGGCCAGTGCTCCAAGGGAAAGCTGGACTAGGTGCTTTCCGGTTCTGTTCAGCTCTGTTGGGGACCCCAGTCTCCAAGTCAATCCTGCAAGCCTGCGGGACCTCATGCTCCGGGTTCGGGGGTTCCAACTGTAAGAGGACCGTGAGGCCCCATAGAGGGAACTTGGCCAGGACCCAGCGGGTGGCGCGGCCAGACCAGCCGGGGCGATTCGTCGCCGCGTCCTCCGGGGAAGAGGCGGTCCCCGAGTCCCCAGGCACCTGCTCGGCGTGGGCTCAAAGCACTTTTCCCGGCAGACGCTGGGGTCCCGTCCCCCTCCTCCCCCTCCTCCCCCAGGTCCCGTGAGGACTGGCGCCCCTGACCGCGCAGCTGGAAACCGAGCGCACGAACCGGATACCGGCCTGGGGGGCGAGCGGGGGACCCGAGACCCGGGTACGTGTGCCCACGGGGTGCTGGGGAGACCCTGGCCCGCCCTGCTCCCAGCAAGGATCTGCGGCGCCCGCGCCCCGTCGGACTTGCTGGCTGCCTGGCTCCAAAGGAACGTTGGTCCCACCCGGAGGCCGGGCCCCGCGGTATCGTGGGGGCGTGCGCAGAAGCCGCTGCCCCGGGTGGGTTTCAGGAGACCCGCGGCCGCGTCCAGTACTTGCCACCCAGGTCGGTCGGTCCATCCCCACCCACGCTCAGGGCGGGTATCTCCACGCCCCCTGCTAGACAGATGAGTGACTGCCCCCCCCTTCGGTCTGGATGGACCCCAGAGCCCCCGCCGCCCTCTCTGTCTGCGCTCCGGTGCGCCCGTCTCCCGAGTTTACCACACAAACCCAGACACCGCGTCTCAGATGCTGCCGCGACGCGTTCTGACCTGGTGCAAAAGCTCTCGCGCGTCGCGCCATCCCACTTCCGACCCATTTCTCCTCTCTGTTTCCCTCTTCCTCCTTCCTCTCACTCTCTTCCTGTTTCCTATCGCCAGCCCGTCTCCTCCTCCTCCTCTCCCAGCTCAGGGCTCCCACTTCTCAGAGCCCTGCAGTTCGCAGTTCGGGGGGCTTAATTGATTCTGGTAATTAGTTTGTTCTACCTGCTAGATCAGATGGAAATTCTACCAGCGTGCCCAAGGATTAGCACTTGGCTTTCTCACACCTCCTCTAATTATCTAATAGCATGGGTTGGGAGGACCCAGGCTCTATTAAAACACTTTTACTATTAGCAACAGTGATTGGGATTGTGATGACGACTAGATTTCAACAAATTAGAGCTTAAAAATGGGGAGATGGAAGAGAAGCGGCTTCTTTTAATTTCCCCGAGTTTGACATCAATAATTAGAGCAATTTTCGGAGATGCGAGCTGAAATTACCCCTGCTGTGCTGTCGATGATCAACCTTAATTTTAGCAAATTTGCTCCCGGGAAATAAGTGTGGCAGACTAGAAAAAAAAAAAAAGACAAACAGGGGGAAAGTAAAACCCCAACACCAAAAGACCAAAAGGTTGGGAAGAAGGAAAATGAAAAGAGATTAAGAAAGGGACCAGGAGACAAAAACCTACTGTCATTAATTTGGGAAACTAAGGCTGAAAAAGGGTGGCCTGGCAGAAGTGGCAAACAGTGTATGAGTGGTACAAGGAGGAAGTAAAATGGAAAATTCAGGAAAGCTAGAAAGGCTGGCATTAGGAGGCAGCTCTGGACAGTTATTTGACTCACTTAGGTGTAACTTTCCTCAGCCCATCACCTGCAACTGAGGTAGAGAGATGTATGGTCATCAGCAACATTTCCTTTCTTTAAAAAATATATTATTATTACTATTAGTTTGGGGACCACACCCTGCCGTGCTCAGGGCTTACTCCTGGCTCTGCGCTCTGGGATCAGTCCTGATGGGCTTGAGGGGGACCAAATGGGGTGCTAGGGATTCAACCTAGGTACTATCTTACCGGCTGTACTATCTCTTGGGCCCCTTCTTTCTTTTTTTCTTTTTTAAAAATTCGGCAATCCTGGGGGCTGGAGTGATAGCATAGCGGTAGGGCGTTTGTCTTGCACACAGCTGACCCGGGTTCAATCCCCAGCATCCCATAGGGTCCCCTGAGCACTGCTAGGAGTCATTCCTGAGTGCAAAGCCAGGAGTAACCCCTGTGCATCGCCAAGTGTGACCCAAAAAAAGCAAAAAAAAAAAAAAATCGGCAATCTTGGTAATCTCCTGGCTTGAGTCATGCCCCCCTCCCCCCAGATAGGAACTCTTTCCTTACCGCCCCCCCCCCCCCCACCTCTCCTTCGCTATCATCTCTTTCACGTTTGAACACCCCGGGCCCCAATTGTGGGGTCAGTGTCTCCTGGCGTGCTTTTTATATGCCTTCTCTAAGGAGGAGTTTGTCGGATGACAGAGACCCGCTCTTCGAGTTTAGAAAACAGAAAAACAAGTCATTTTTTAAAATTTTTTTAAGGGGCTTCCAGTCAAGCGGGCGCTGCAGGGGCGGGGCGGAAAGCGCGGTGAAGAAACCCGCGGGGCGCGAGCCGCTGGTCCGCCCCGCGCTCTCCAGGGTCGGGCCGGGCGCGCTCAGCACCACGGACAGCGCCCGCCCCGCCCCGAGCCCGCCGCGCCCTCCCCTCCGCCGCTGGCAGCCCTGCCATTGGCTCTCCAGGCTCCCCTCTCCCAGCTGCCAGTTCTCCTGCCGGCGGATCCGACCTACCCAGGGACTCGTGCTCGCGCCTCTCCAGCGCCCGGGGTAGCCAGGTCGGGAGACAGCGGCGGGGGATCCGGAGCCTCGGAGGGCGGCTGTCCGGCTCGCGCCACCACGCTTAGTCCAGAGGCCCCACCAGCTCCCCGCGCTTGCTCCAGGCCCTCGCCCCGACATGAATCTCAACTTCACTTCCCCGCTGCATCCTGCGTCTTCGCAGAGACCCACGTCCTTCTTCATCGAGGACATCCTCCTGCACAAGCCGAAGCCTCTGAGAGAGGTGGCCCCCGAGCATTTCGCCAGCTCCCTGGCCTCCCGGGTGCCTCTGCTGGAGTATAGCTACCCCCTCATGCCCACACCCACCCTCCTGGCTCCTCACCCCCACCACCCTCTGCACAAGGGGGATCACCACCACCCCTACTTCCTCACCACCTCGGGTAAGTCCCCGGGACCGGGGAGGGAGATGGTAGGTGTCCCCACACAGCCCGGAGCATCTCGGAGAGTGCCGGCCTGCGGGCCTTGCTCCTAGCCCGGCCTGGCAGTCTCTTTCCCCAAGTGACTGAGGAAGGTCGGCGACAGCGCTGAGCCTTTTAGCCAGCCCTGTCAACTCACCCGTGGTCACTCCGCACTTTTATGCCCAAGGCAGCGGGAGGTTTTGGTGGCATTGGAGGTGGGCAGTGCCTCCCTCCCCCTCCTCCAGGCAGTTTGGCCATTGCTGAGTTGAAGTTCTCCGCCTCTCCCCACTCCCCAACGAGTGGGATGATACCACGGAGACAGAACTCTCAACTTTTTAACTCCAAGGCTCAGATAGACTCAGCAGGGACCAGGGCACGGAGCATTCTCCCATACTTGGTGTGGACTGGCTTGGGAGTGAGCGAGGGCTTGGGGTTGGACTGGAATTCAGGACTGGAATTGAGGCCAAATCAGATATAAGAGAAAGGAGAAGAAGAAGAGTGGGGAGGAGGACCAAGGAGGGACAGAAGCAGCTCCTCTTGAACTCTCTGCACACCCAACTCCTGTCCTGGGCCTTCCGCTGCCCTTCTCCACTCCAGGGTGCTGAAGCTGGGGCTGGGGGCTGGCAGAGTCTGGGTTGGGATCGGGAGATGCGGGGGAAGCAGCCGGATTTTTCCCTCTCTCCTCCGAAAGGCAACCTTCACGCTTTGCCCCCACCTTACCCCCCTTCTCTGCATTTTCATTCCAGCCAGAATAATTTGTTGAGTTTCAGATGCACCGTGTGCTAAAAACAAGAAAACACAACAACAGCAAAAAAACCCATCCTGAGGGGGTGGGTTGGGGTCTGGCACAAACAGGAGCTGGTCTGAGAAAGGTGGGGGGCACCGGAACCCAGGGCCAAAGATAAAGAGCTAAGTGGGGATGAAGAACCAACCCTGCGGTCTGGGTTGGAGATGCTGTAACAAAGACTGCGTTGAAATCCGCATCTCAGCACTGGCTTCGCCACCTGCCCACCAGTCTCTTTCTGGGCTTTGGAGCATCCCTAGGGCAGTGTCGTATGTCCTGTTTCTGGTTCTGCCCCTGGAAAGGACCAGCCTGGATACCCACTGTGGTGTGTTAGTGTGTTTGTGTGTTCACATCTCAGACATGGACCACTGGGTCAGGGCCAGGAATGTGAAGTCCTTCTGCGGACAGCAGAGAACCCTGCAAGCCCTTCTGCTTGGGCTCAGAGGGAAAGAGTGAAAAAAGGAACAAGTCTGATATTAGAGATCTGGGCCCACACCGAGTACCCCAAATTGATCAGGGAACGTGGAGGGGAGGGACGACTGTCTTCCTTCTCACCGAGCCTCTTTGGAGGAGTATTAACCGAGCCCCATTGGCAGCAGGCGGGGAAATGCAGCCAGAGAGAGAAAAGCACTTTCAGTGAGACTGAGAAGCAAGGTCCAATTCGCACTCCTGCCAGTCCTCTGGGGACTGGAAGATTGGGGGTGCAAGGAGAGGCCGGTTGTGAGAGAGGAGTGGAGTTCCGCTGGTTTACCGACAGCTCTCCAAGGAGACGATATTTAAAAGCCCTCACCGGTTTCTGGTTTCTGTTCCCGTTTCTTTGACTCCCCTAACTGTGTATTGTTTGCTTCTAGAGGACCTTTCCCATCAAGACCTCCGCATCCTACTTCTCCTTGTGATTTTTCTAGCCCCGCCTGCCTGCGACTTCCGGAGAAGGGCTCCGGGCAGGCCGGGGAGGGCGCGGGGAGCGCAGGGAGGCAGCGGGGGAGCCGCGGCCCTGCCCACGCGGCTGCTCTTCTCTCTGTAGGGGTCCCGGTGCCCGCGCTCTTCCCGCACCCGCAGCACAGCGAGCTGCCCGGGAAGCACTGCCGCCGCCGCAAAGCTCGCACGGTTTTCTCCGACTCGCAGCTCTCCGGTCTGGAGAAGAGGTTCGAGATCCAGCGCTACTTGTCCACGCCCGAGCGGGTGGAGCTGGCCACCGCGCTCAGCCTGTCTGAGACGCAGGTGGGCAGGCGGGAGAAGCCGCGCTCTCGCGTTCGCTCCCCACAGCACCCCAGGGCTAGGTCGTTGGGGTGGGAACGCGACCCCCACCCGCTTTATTCTAGACATCTGGGAAAGCCATGTGCGCCTTCATGGCCCGATCTGATATCTTGTCCTTCTGGTCAGGGCTCTGACCCGGGTCAGACGTAAACCGGCCAGAGATGATGTAGCAGGTGCTTGAGCAGGGGAAGTCCCCACGGATTTCCTGCCCTCGGTTTAGACTCAGCCGCCCCACTCCTACTCCCGTGGGGGCCCAGTCCAGCCTCGGGCCGTCCGGTCCTGGGTGCAAGAACGTGGCCATCCTCCTGGAAAGGAGATTCACTAAAAACCATGCTGGGCGCGCTCACACCCCAGCGCCAGGAACCCCGGAGAGGGAGGGGACCGGGTACCACCGCAGAGGTCAGCCTAGCAGTTCTGATGAATGACGTGGTTAGTCTGGGGGGCCCGTTGCGCTTTTGCCCTCGCTGGTTGTGAGATCGGTTCTTTTGGAACCGTTAGGACCCTCGAGGCTTTTTCTGAGGGTTCCAGTGGGACCTGACCCAACTGGCAGGCGGTCTTGGTTTGGGAAAATTTGCCTTCATGGATTATGATCTGTTTTCCTAAAAGCCGACCACGCTCAGTTCCAGGCTTAGCCAAGATGGGTGTGAAGGAATGAATGATTCTATTTTATTTTATTCCCCCCTCACCCCGAAATCAGGTAAAAACGTGGTTCCAGAACCGGCGGATGAAGCATAAAAAGCAACTGAGGAAAAGTCAAGACGAGCCCAAAGGGCCGGAGGGGTCGGAGAGCCCCGAGGGCAGTCCCCGTGGCCCCGACTCTGCGCCCCCAGAGGCGCGGCTGGGCCTGCCCGCCGGCCACTTCGTGCTGACCGAGCCGGAGGATGAGGTGGACATCGGGGACGAGGGGGAGCTGGGCTCGGGCCCCAACGTGCTTTGAGCCAGGGCCCGGGCCGCGCCAAGAGTGCCGGGCGGGGAGGTGGAACTCGGGCCACAAACGAACCCACTCGCGGCCTCGGCCCACGCCCCCTCCCGCCCCAGCACCAGCAGCCGCTGGCCGAGCGCCTCGGGGCGTTTCCTCCCGCCCCCGCCCCAGACCCCGGGCTCTAAAGCTGCGGAGCCGATTTCTCCCCACGGATCGCAGACCCGGGGCCCTCACCTCTCCGTCACCTGCTCCCCAACTCCGCGGGCCAGGTCCGCACGCGGCCCTTCCACCCGGACCCTGGGCCTCTTCCTTGGGCAGAAAGGACAGGCGGCAGGTAAGGGGGTCTGGAAGCCGGGCAGAGCCGCGGTTACACCGAAGACGTCCACATCGGACTGATGAGCAGCTGGTCGCCAAACTCCTTCCGGGCCTCTGCCCCGCCCCGGTCCCATTCCAACGCCGATACCGAGGGCGCACGGCGCATCCACGCTCTCGGCTCTGCACCCGTCTAAGAGCTCGAGCTCCCACACCCCATCCTCCCTGAGTTTGTGCCCCACACCTGCCCGGATCCCCGCGTCCTTAACTCTCACCCGCCCGCGCCCGGAGCGCTGCGCAGACCCGGGGGCGCAACTCTCCTGGTCATCCCCGGTGCCCGGCCGGGTGACGCGCCCGTCCCGCCGCGTGCCACAGCCCCCGGGCAGTGCGCCTGCTATACCGAGGAATCCTGGGACGCGGGCGGAGTTTTAGGTAACTGAGATAAGTGCCAGGGCTGGGGTGCGGGAGTACGTGTCCCCTTCCCAGAGGGCGCGCACCAGCCGGAGCTCTCGGCCGCGGGGTCCGGCTCCCTCCCCCGGCGGGTGTAGTAGGAGTCCTCTCCTGGGGGTGGCGGTGTTTTGGCTAATAAAGGGCTCTCCGGGCTACACGGGGAAAGCACGAGTTTCTGGGAATCGTTTGTCTGCGCGTCGTCCCCGGCGCGCTCTGGTTCGCGGGTGGAACTCACGCGGCCACTGATCTTTCCCCGACCGGCCCGCGGCCCCCGCGCCCCAGGCGCTCTGTTATGGAACCTTCTCCATGAGCTCGAGTTCCACCTGCGTGGAAAAGGTCACAGCCACCACCACGCGCGTCTCTGAAATGCCGAAGGGACGGAGAGCCCCACTGTTTGGAGTTTGGAGTCGCGGTGAGGAACAGTGTGAGGACGCGACGCGCGCAGACACTAGGTCAACGACCGCGGTGGGGACCCCCCTAGGCGCACTCGGCTCTTGAGCTGCCGGCGCGTCTGGCGTGTGAGCTGCTAAGTGAACCTCCGACAATTTTTCGTAGACTGTGGCTGGCGCGGGGGCTGGCCCAGCACATACATAATATTACAAACGGCAGCGGCACGGGCTTGCGCTTGGCTTACAAGCATCTTTTGGGTTCTTTGCGTTTAACAGGAGGACGATTCCTAAAGGTCTTTCAGGATTGAGATTTATGCTATACGTGTAGCAGCAGGCGATTTTTTTTTCCCAGAGTGGGCTTTGGCTGGGGGATTTCTACAACAGAAATAAGCGCGACCTTCTAATGTGTATCATTTAGGAAGCAGAGCATTGCTTTAGAAACAGAAGCATTTGCAAAGGGCCCTTTATCAACCAACCATCTGTGAGTCGCCAAGGACGCAGGTGATGTATTGTTTGTTTTTCAGAGATAAGGAAATCAAGGTTTGGCCAGATGGAAGGCATTTGCTCCAGAAGAGTCAGTCGGTCTAGTTAACCAGCGAGTGCGGGCTGAACCAGCAAAAATAACAGAACAGAATCCATTCATGTGCCGACTTCTGCTCATTTCTTTGCCTCTTAGTCCTCACAAGCAAATTTCTCAGGTCTCCTCCCTCCTGAGCTATTGGTCTTATCATTTTCAGGCAGGAGTTTTGGACTGATGTTTTTTGACAAAGGAAAGACTGGGTTATCAAAAAAGTGATTTGGGAATAAGAATGTTCCTTATACCTGGAAGGGAAATGGATATTATTACATCTGGAGGGGGAAAAAAATCTCAATTTCTCTAATCTCAGAAGAACTGCTACTAAAGAAAGATTTGGAAGAGAATCTTTATTTTTTTTAAAAATTTTTATTAGTGAAACACCATGAGGTACAGTTGTGGACTTACAACTTTTTGTGCTTGGGTTTCAGTTATACAATGATCAAGTACCCATCCCTCCACCAGTGCCCATTCTCCACCACCACTAATCCCAGTATCCCTCCCACCCCCACCCCTCCATCCTCCCTGCCTCTGTGGCAGGGCATTTGGAAGAGAATCTTTAAAGAGAATAAAGTGGGTTTTTTTTTGGGGGGGGGAGTGTTGTTTTAAAATTTAAAAAATGAGCATTAGATAGCCACTTGAATTTTCCAATTAAAAATTTAAAGAACGTAAATGAGATGGGTAACACAGAAGCCAAAGCACCAGACCTTCCTTTCTTTCCTCACCATTTTTCACACGAGGATGCCGGGACTCAGAGCAGCCATGGTCTGACCTCCTGTCTTTCAGGGGAATGTCCCCCACCATTCACATGTCCTGATTGAGCCCTGGCTGGGGTTGCAATTCCTGAGCATTAACACAGACACTGTGGCTGTTCATTTGGTGCCTCTTTTGTGGCTGCTCCTGGCAACATTCATGGGAAGAAACAAACTCAGATCTGCAGAATCAGCCACATAAACTGTAGCTCAGTTTTCTCATCCATGTCCCTGAGATTGGTGCCAAACGGCAAAGTTCTGGCATAAATATATATGTGTTATATATATGTGTGTGCTATATATACACACATGTACATACATACACATGTATTATATATACATATACATATGTATACTTTTTTTTAAACACAGGGCATTATTGAGGCTAGTTTAGGATAGACACTGTTCTGTCTCTATTGTAAATGTAAAAGGAAAACACCTTTTGTTTTTGGTCTTCCATATTGATCAAAGACTCCATAGGCTGACTAGGTATTTTGTCTGAATTACTCAGGCTTTTGCCTCAACTTACTTTCATGGCGGGGGAGAGCGAAGATCTGACCAAACTATGCCATTATGCTCTAGTAAAGAAAAGCATCCCTGGGTCTGATTCTGAGAAAGCAGGTCTCAAAAATAGCCAAGTGGCCAACGGGCCTACCTGTAATTCCAAGTGCATGATTTGTTCTTAATGTTGTTTCTGAGAGACTTCATTTCATAGCTTCTCGGAGAGGGACTCTTGATAACATTTCTGCTCTACTGACACAGGAGTATAAGGAATGGACAATACTTCACTCAGCCCTTTATTAGCTGACCGCGGGACAGAGAAATGACAGGTTGGAATCCACAATGGTACTTCAGCGGAGAGAGGGCCAAATACTCTTTCTGCTGTTTGGTAACATGTGTATGAGAGAGAGAGATGGAGGTGCAGGCCCAGCAGTATGCTTCCTGCCACAATAAATGTACTTAGTTAACGAAGCGACTCCCTTGGTATTTTTGAACTGAGCTCAATCGATATGCAGAAGTAATGAGTTAATTGATTTATAGTCATGGTCTATTGTTGGCACAAAAGTGCAGTGAGGATGTTGACAAGCTATATAGGAACCTATAGGAACACTGGGAATGAAAGGGAAGGAAGTACGCGCCACGGTGGGGTGAGCACTTTGGCTTGGTGAAACTGAGTTTAGGGAAGGGGTGGGAGATTAGCGATGGTAATTGTACTTCAATGGTTGCTGGGCTGTTTTGTCTCAAGAGGGTAGATCTACTCTGCAATGCTAAAGGGGTGCAACCAGAACGAGTAGATGCTTTAGAGAAGCTAACTTTGAAACATTTAATCTCCTTTTTCTTTTCTTTTTTTTGGCGGGGTTACACCAGCAGTTTGGGGGATTAGTCCAAGCATGGTGCCAAGGACCAGGCCATGCAGGAAACTTGGCAAGCAGGTACTCCAGCCCTTTGAGGTATCTCTGGCCATGAACATTCTCTTTAGGCCGTGGCATGCCAGAACAGGAGAAGTACACAAAATACTTTCACTAGAAAAGTTTAAGCAGAAGCAGGAAGACAAAACACCAGGATCACCCCATTAACCAGGTTGGATATTGGCTCCACACAATCTCTGTGTGGTTCTCCCTCTTTGTTGCAACCTATTGATTCCAACTTATCAAAAAGCTATTTTTGGCAGGCTTGGGACCACCTCCGATAGTGCTCAGGGACAACTCCTGGCTCTATTTTTAGGGGTCACTCCTAGTAGTGCTTGGGGGGGCCCTATATGGTGCCAGGGATTGAACTGGGGATGGCAACATGCAAGGCAAGTGTCTTAACTCCTGTACTATTCCTCCCCAAACTTATTAAAAATAGGTGATTGAGGATGTAGCTCAGTGTAGAGTATATATTTTCCATCTATGAGGTCCTGAATTTGATTTCCTAGTACCAACTGTCCACTGTCCTCCTGTTGTTCATTGATTTGCTCGAGCAGGCCCAGTAACGTCTCCATTGTGAGACCTTGTTACTGTGTTTGGCATATCGAATACGTCATGAGTAGCTTGCCAGGCTTTGCCATGCAGGCGAGATACGCTCAGTAGCTTGCTGAACTCTCCAAGAGGGGCGGAGGAATTGAATCTGGGTTGGTTGGGTCGGCCACGTGCAAGGCAAATGTCCTACCGCTGTGCTATTGCTCCAGCCCCCTAGCACCAAGAACATTTAAAAATAAAAATTGTCTTCTTACTAAGAGTAAGACTTTATGCATTCTAATTGAAATGTGCCCAAAACAATTAGCAGATGGAAGCAAACCAGATAAGATACTCCTTTATTTATTAAGAAAGTCAGATACCTGGTTTCAGAGAAAAGCTTCAGCAGGATGATGAATTCAACACCGTGACAGAACCAAGAAGAAAGAACTGTCAGTATTAGAAGTGACATTTGATGAGCTAAAAACCCTTCATTTCACAGACAATCGATTCAGATGTAATAAACCCTTGAGCACATAGACAGCAGCAGATTTAAGATTAGAAGCCAGTGTTAAGCATCTGACCTTAAAAGTGGAGTGGG